GTCAGAGTAAAACGTGCACTGCAGGCCGGGGTTAAATGCAGACTACAGTTATAACATATATGTACAATGTATCATGTTATTTCCATTATTGGGGGCTGACCATAAACATGATCATTCAGGCTAACTGTAGGGAGTCTGCACTTTGGTTGGATGGAATAGTGCTCCGGTTAGACTGAATATCACTCCAGTTAGCCTGGATACTACACTCAGGTTAGCCTTAATAATGCTTCAGTTAACCTGTTTACGGTGTTGTGAAAAATGGTCATATCATTCACATAAAAAGTCTATAGTCTGCAGTCTGCATTTTAGTACCCTTGGTCTGCAGCCCACATTTCACACACAGTCATTTTGCCCCCCATCTGCAGTCTGTAGTCTGCTGTCCCCAGTGTCGGTGATTTTGTTACCCCTGCGTGCTGCGTCCCTGACGCATAAAAATTCTCAAGGACACATAATAATTCACAGCCTGCATCTCTTAGGAAGCAACGATCAATCGATTCATCGAAAAATCTTTTTGAAGAATACCATGTTCGATTTGAAATGTGTAGTGAAAGCTACCTCCAATCAAAAGAGTAATATTGTTTCCTCATAAAAAAGGTTAACAATAATTTTTGGAACGAATAGACAGAACTATTTCCACGCAAATTCGCCAATACAACTGTTTCTTTTTCAAAAGCGGCCATGTTCATTTTACTGATGGAGTGGTTACTCATTACATGTATATTTGCCATATATGAAAAGCATGTGGCTGAGCAAGAATGACGGACAAGGTTCTTCTAGTTGATTCTTTAAAGATTTAGTAATTAGAAATGCCACCCAAAAAGGACTTATAACCTATACCGAGCCAAAAAATTTTTTTTGTAGAACAGCCGCCAGAAATGGCTTCAAACACGAGTGATCTCGAGACTCAAGAAATGCTGCCAGACCTGGCATCTAATGACAACACCAAAGAAAACAAGATAAGGAAATTCATGCCACACTGGCTAAAATCTAATGGTTGGTTGAAATATGATGAGGAGAAAAACTTTATGTATTGTGATATTTGCACTAAGTTTAACAGAAAAAAATTCCCTCCAGCAAAGTAAAGAATTTTTTGTCTGGAAGACTAGTTTCATGAGAGTTCTGACAGGACTCATTGGGTTTTGAACTGGGACTCATCGATTCTGGACTGGGATGCATGATTTCTCTGAGATAAGTCCCAGGACTCAACAAAATCACTGCAGTCTGCGTTTTACACTAACTGACTCAAAAACCTAGCGTAAAATAAGCTTACTTACACTGTAAAATTGTAGTCAACTCTGTAAGGTCAACGATGAAAAATGAGAAAAAAATATATCAGATGGCTCACCTCTTAACATTTCACGGCATTCAAGTTCGAATTTTTCAACTGCAGGTCTTGCGTTTCGTGTACACGTTGCTTATGATCTGACATGTTTTTAACTGAGCACGAATTTTACCTAGTAAAGAGGGAAAATCACTTGAGACCTGAAAACTCTGTTCAAAATGGTTAAATCCGACGCTCAAAAATATGGCAAAGCAATGTCTTGTTCCCAGTGCTCCCCTTTTGAGTGGGGAGAATCCGCTGATCGATATGAGTGCAGGCGCAGGGCTACGTGAAGGGCGACATGCACATGACAGTCTTTGTTATGTATACCGAGCGTTCGAAGAAATCTAGAAAGCTTGCCAGATAGAAGCCATTGACTAAGGTCATGAAAAAAAAAGTCAACCCTTGAAAAAAAGTGAAAGTCAACCCTTCAACCCACGAACAATCTTGCATAGGGCGGCTGCGCCCGCAGTACGAGCGGCAGTTAAAACTGAGGTGTCCTACAAAAACGACACAATGATTACCATTTTCTTCTCACCTAACAAAACTAAGGACAATGCCAAAGTTGCTTTGGACTCTTTTAATAGTTAACTTGAGAATTCCGGGTTTAATTTGACCAGGAATAAGCATAGTTTGTTCAAAATAACGCAACTATTATCCTGCCTGGCGACACTCGACGAACTACGACCGAGTTGCCATGCCGGACGCCGGCGACCCATTTTTGGCGCCAAATTAGAAGCTGGTAGACAAAAAAAAGTTTCACTTTATACAATCTGACTGATGGCTTTTGGAATTGTAAATCTCTTTTCGTGAATGTTAGGACGGTGCTTACTTTTGTTAGTGCGCACACGTTCTGCGCATCACGCAAGTCGTTGTTCGCCACGCGTGCGTTGGGTCCGCGCAGGGTTGACATCGACGCTATCAAATTTTCCTACTATGACCAAATCAAGTTTAATGAACCTGTACTTAAACCGGGAACACCCGAAAAGCAGCATATCGCTGCCATTAACTGTTTACGTCTTCCTCTCTGGTTTCCCTGAAATCTGCCCATAAATTAAGGGCCAATTTTCGCTTCATTAACACAACATCATAAAGCCCCCGGTCGTATTATTATTATTACAATTATTATTATTATTATTATTATTATTATTATTATTATTATTATTATTATTATTTATGTATTTATTTAGTGCATTACACTGTAATCCATTGCGGATACGGTGCAATTACGTGCCAAAACTACAAAACCGTCCAAAATTTGCCTTACTTGTTGGATTATTATAATTATTAACAACATCCAAATAAATAACTGTTGTTGGAGCTCCGCTTTCAGGCTTGGCTAAATCTATTATACCATTCTTTATCATCTATGGGTGTATTATGAACTCACAAAATGGCCAGCTCCCAGTTGGCAGAGTACTGCATCGGTATCGCAGAGGTCATAGCCCCTTGCAGAAACGTGAGAGTACTGGGACGAGTTTCTTATATTGTATAAATTGAAAATCTAAACATTTCAACTGAAATGTTACTGAATGAAAAGCTACCCTGTCAAGTTTCAGAGTTTTCAGCGGAAAAATTGTTCAAATGGGAGCCTTACAAAAGTTGCAAAATTCCATACAAACTCTTCAAATTTTGTGGCCTGTCTACCCAATCCATACAAACTCTCTACTTTAGGTGATATTTGAAAAGCTATCATTTTGCCATTTTCCTCTTCTAAATACTTCTATTCTTGCTCAAGACTCTCAAATTTAGTTGGTCTTTCATTTGAATATCTTAGTTTTTCAAACAAACGGAAACAACCACACTCTTTCCCAGTCCTCTCACGTTTGTGCAATGGGTTATGGGTTCGAATCCCGTTCCGGCCTGAATTTTTTTCAGGCTTTAATTTCACAACTGCTTAAGTTGTGTGTATAACTGCGATGATCAATCATGTATTCAAATTGAATAATTGCTACTAATCTCGCAATCTGATTGGCTAATTTGCCGTTGTCGGTAAGAGCCCAGACAACGCTGCTTGCGACAATGTGTCACGCCATGCCATTTTCAGCTCGGGCTCTGAAAGAAAAACATTTTCTTTGCCGCTGATATTGTGGTAAAAAACAAATCGAATGTGGTTTAATTAGCGTTGTCTGTACTCTTATCGACAACGCTAAATTAAAATAAGTGAAGTAAAAGTTGTGCAAACTAATCAAATCAAACCATTTAAAATTGAATAGAGGGAATAAGTTTCTAATGAAACTGTGGTCCTGCGTCGGTGGGGACTATAACAAGATAATTTGGTTTTATCAACTGAGTTGATAATGTTAATTGGCCACCGTAAAGAGATTCGAAAGTTGGACGACGTTTCGAGCGTTAGCCCTTCGTCGGAGCGAAGGGCTAACGCTCGAAACGTCAGCTTTCGAATCTCTTTACGGTGGCAATTTCACATTATCAACTTAGTGGATAAAACCAAATTATCCCATTTAAAAGTGAGTCATATTTTTGTTAGCCCCATTATTTGTTAAATACTGATCGTAAAGTCCATTAGCTTTCAAAGTTTGACCATAGCTTACAATCAGTGAAATAGCTATAGTTGTCAATCTAGACAAAGTTCGGCATGTCGTTCGCTCTTGGGCTTAACCATGCATAAAACACAATGGCCTTTGTTAACTCAGTGCTGTGTGACAGTTTAAACAACAGAAATGCTTCGTTTTATGTGACGTGATTAATGCACTGTGTATGATCGCAAAATAAATCTTATCTTTGTTTGCTCTTTGAAGTTTCTCGAGCTTAAAAACCACTCCAGTCTACTATTTAACTCTGTGTTTGCTGATTAATATAACTTACTTTCTAGACCAGTTCGTGTCATAGACAGACTGACTTGCTCTGACGAGGCAACAAATAAAGGCTACTTTAGCCATCGTTCTGTTGTACAATATGGAAGGCCATGAATTAATTTTTTTGCCAGTTTTCACTTAATAATGTATTTTATAATGTATGATTTGATCGATTTGATCGATTTCACACAGACTCTCGTTTTCCCATGGCAACAGCCATCAGAACTGGCAGAGCCAAAAAATTTGTTGTTTACTAGCAAACGATGGAGCTTACAATTGATCACCACTTTATGATTGTTTGAATTTCGAAGCTTTCGTAATCAAGCCATATATTATTCTAACTGGTTAAGATAGAAACCAGACAACGTAAAGTTAGTTAGAGCTGTACTTATCACGGCGGAACTTGCTTTGGAAAGTGAAACAACGAAAATCACTTGAGGTTTTCTAGGTATATACGTATTTCAAGGAAACACTGTTTATCATACAACGTCAGGCATGGAAGATGTATTTGGAAGTTTCTGGAGTGTCAAAACATGAACTTGGCGGGACACGAGAGAAGTTAAAAATCAAAGCAAGAGAACATGATGCGAGATACGGGATGAACATGTCTCGGCCTGTACAGAATATGTTCATTTCAACCAGGAAATACGGGATAAATTTGAAATTGAGGGGCGGGATGCGGGATGAAACACAGCAGATCACGGCTAATTAGTGACTACAGAAACTAATTTACCTTTCGGGAGTTCTTGGAAATATCAATGACCCAAATAGAAAGAGTTTTTAAAACAGCTTGCCAATTGTGTTTCGGTGACACCAGCGTCGTTACCAATAACTAGTTTTATGCTCACCAGCTTTGGCGAGTCACCGGAGAGAAACCAAAACCAATACGCACAATAACAAGACCTTTTCCTCTGAAAAGTAAGCAAAAAGGGAACGTTAAGCGATTTGCTACCATACAAAATGGTGCTTCTAGGCAATCATTGGTCTGACTTATTCTCGCGTGACTCACTGATGGCGCTTACAGCAGGAAGAACATCAGTCACGCGATTCATGAAAACTCTTCCAGTGTAAACTCTAGATCTTGTGTACATCCACGCTATTAGTCACAAATAGCTTACAGTTGATAAACTTACCGTGTTTAGTTTGTCAGTCTTCTCATAAAGTGGAACCCAAAGAGATAGAAACTGAAACAACACTGAGGAAGCTTTCCCTACAAGACAATAGGAGGTCCAATAAGAAGTCAAAACAAATTAAAATTAAGGTCATTCCCCAGTTTTGCATTGCGCATCCCTACTGCGCATAATTTTAAGTGTGATTAGCGCGCGCGCATTAAGAAATGGCGGCTTTTTCTTTTCAGCTGGACTTCGCCATAGAGGTAAATCGTCATCTTCTCGAAAACGAGCACGGTGACCTATCAGTTTTTTTTCTGTTGTTTTGAATTGAGTAATAAACTTCTCTATATAAAATAAATATGGGCTAATTCTCAGTGTTGAGCAAGAAACAATTTCCGAAACCGTGAATTTAGCAAGTAATCATGGTGCTATTATAAGGATTTATATGGTATAAACAGGGTGCTGTTGCTCCTAACCGAGCATGGAGACCCCTCATTTTTATTTCCAAATTTAAGTCCCTATAATATATATAATCAATGGGCAAAGTTTGACAAAAATCTCAGTGTAGGTTCTATTTCATTGGAATGACCTTAAAAATAAGTTTCAAACGTTGAGCAAAACTTCGAATGTAAGTTACATTTTTCTATTCCCGTACTTTGTTGAATATCGACGGTAAAGCTAGTAGTTTTAAAGTGTTTTGAGTTTTTTAACAAAGCTAATATTCAGTAAAATGGTTTTCTAGCTAGAAAAAATTCTTTCAATTCTTGTATGTTGGTGTTCGTTCTTTGGCTTAACAGTGAATAACACACAATTAACAGTTAATGAATGAGGCGCAGTATCTTATGAAGAATTATGGAGATCGAGGAGGGTGTTATCCGTCGAGACCATAGGCCGAGGCGGATAATACCCTACGAGATCTCCATAATTCTTCATATGATACGAAAGCCGAATTCAATAACTGTTTTATTATTCATTCAAAATAATTCCTAGTTTAAAAACATAGCTGAAACATTCTTACCTCTATCGATCCATCGATGTTCAGTTCATCTTCTACAGGGTACGTTTAGGTTTGTCCAGCTGCGCAAATATTCTCCAGATAGCAGGTGTCGCCCTTCGAGTTGTCTTCTTGCTGTTCTTGCCATGTTTTTAGCTATTTTTTTCGCCTAGTTCTTACTCTTGAAGCGAGTGAAATGTCCGCCATTTTTTCAAGTTCACAACCAAAACAACTCAACCTCGTCCCCAGGTCTTCTCGGTTAACGGTGCCTTAACCTGCCAAAACGCTGCATTTTTAACGTCATTTCCTCGTTAAAGTCAAATTTCTTCCAAATTTGGTCATCAGTAACTGGTTATGGTGAATTAAACGTGTGCTTTTAGCCAATCAGAATAGGGGAAATATTTTGAATGAATAATAATAGGTGTTAACTCAGTTCTGTCTGATAGATTAACCAACAGAAACTATCGGCTATGTAATTAATACACTGTGGAAAGATTGTTCACAGTCCTGGACCTTCCCATATCAATGTTGGCATCTCTGTTTGCTTAAAAACCACTCCAGTTTACTATTTAACTCTGTGTTGGCTTATTAATAGAATTTACTTTCCACGCCGGTTCCTCTCATGGAAAGACTGACTTGTTTTGAAGAGCAGGAATAAGACAACTAATGAAAACTACTTTTGCCATCGCTCTGTTTTAAAATATGAAAGACCGTGAATTAATTTTAAATTCGTTTTTACTTTATAGCGTATGCTTTGTACGAATTGATCGATTTCAAACTTTCGTTTTCCATGGCAAAGACATAAGATCTGACAGAGCCAAAAACTACGCTATGTAAAAGCAAACGGTGCAGTTTGCAATCAATCATCACTTTATGATTGTCTGAATGTTATGGCTCAGTATTATAATCGAGCTATATATTATTATTACAGGTAAAGGGAGAAAACAGACGATGCAAAGTTAGCTAGACCTGTACTTACCACGGCGGAACTTGTTATTGAAAGTGAAACTACGAAAATCGCTTGAGGGGTTCTAGATACTTCGAGAAAACACTGATTAACCCAAAACGTCATGCACGGAAGTTGTATTTGGAAGTTTTTGAAGCGTCGAAATATAAGTTTGGCTGGATGCGAGAAAAGCCGAATATCCAGGCCGGATGTGCAGATACGGGATACGGGATGAAAATATCTTTGCTACTCCACGTGCAGAATGTGCACATTTCAACCAGGAATAAAATTTTATATTGATAGGTTTCAGAGGTGGGATGCGAGATGAAAAACAGCAAATCAGGCCTACTAAGTGACTAAACATCTACCTTGGTAACCCTGATGAGACACATGAGCATGAGGTTTTAAAATGGCTTCACAATCGTGCGCACACTTTTTGGGTTTAGTCACAACAGCGTTGTTATCTACAACTGGTTTTGACTAGTCTTTAACTACATGACTTTAGAGTTAAAAGTATAGTTAGTTATTTTGGTCGACATTAAGATGCAAATTCCCGCGGTTTCTTTCTCTCCGTTCAAAAAATAGATTGAATGCGAACAGTTTACTTAAAGAGTTCAGTCTACCATGAATAATGGAGCTATTAAAATTTCGATTTATACTCACTTGTTTTGGTTAGTCGACCCGAATGGAACCAAATTGAATACGCGTCAATAACAAGACCTTTTCCTCTGAAAAGTAGAAGGGAAGGAAAAGTTAAGCATAGTTGTTACTGCACAAACGAAGCTTCAAAACAATTATTCGCGTGGCTTTATTTTACACGTGACTCACTAATAGTTATTACAACATGAATGATACCAGTCACGCGATTCATGCAAACCTCTCCCAGTGTAAATTTAAAGTCTTGAAAATCAGCTGTACTTATTATATGTGCACCCAACGCTATCAGTCAGTGACAGCTTACAGTTTATAAACTTACCGTGTTCAGTTTCTCTGTCTTCTGATGAAAAGAAAACCAAAGTGACTGGAACTGAGACAAAACGACGAACAAACGCTAGACCGCCGACTGGAGATACTTCTTCCACGAAGCGTGCTCAGTAAAACCTCTTCAGAAGGTCGACAGGTATCGACCGGCTAATCAAGGCCTTCTTTCTTGAAGTAAAGCTACAGTGCTCAGTCTTCGAAGAAAAATAGGGCAAAGATGAATGATAAATATTATATCCGTGAAAAGAAGCAACACATTGTACTTTCAAACAGTTCTAATCAAACACCCGGGCCCTAATAACACAACATAAAGTGCCCTCCATAAACACGCTTGAAACAAAGAAGGATCGAGAGACCGAGAAGAGAACGGTAAATGTACAAGTATCACGACCCGTACAAGTCGTCTAGGCCCGTCAACACCACCATTTTACACTGACTGCCATATCGCATTTCTTATTTGCGTAAGTAACGCTCGAGTGTTGCCATACCAGATCCTGGTATACCGGAACGACCTTTCGCGGCGGGGCTAAAGTGCAGGTCACAGGTCACAGGTCACACAAAAAAACAATAGGACAGTGGACAAAACTGTTCTGGACTGATATTTTACTATACAAAAATAAAATAAGCCAAGGAACCTTGATGATATTTTTGTCCTTTAAACAATATTAAATGCCACGCATGTGGTCACAGGCCACAGGTCAGGTCACAGGTCACACAAAAAACAATAGGACAGTGGACAAAACTGTTCTGGACTGATATTTTACTATACAAAAATAAAATAAGCCAAGGAACCTTGATGATATTTTTGTCCTTTAAACAATATTAAATGCCACACAGGGAATAATATTTTCATGCTGATCATACGGCATATCCAAACTTCGTAACGAAATCACAAAGGTGTGCAAAATCATGTGATTTGTAAGAAAAACAAATCACATGTTTTTCACTGAAAACGACGTGTTGTCGTGTTATTAGAATGTCATCTCCAGATAAACCGTGCAGCCAAGATAACTTGGAGCAAGTCATTGAAATGCAGCACTGAAATCCTTTGATACATCAGCGGTTTACAGAGTCAAAGATTCAAGTTGTAATGGCGGAATACTCCCACCTAAGGCCCACGAGGCAATCCAACAGAGGTTTTTCAAGCTGTTGTGCAACAGAGCGTGAGAAAATGGCAAGCTCTTGGGAGAAGAGCCAAGAAATATGGTCCAGCAACTATCCGAGAGGCCCAAATAGCAGTGTCTGATGTTCTTAGCCGACTACACTTTAACACAGCAGTATTTTGTGACTGGTACGAAGCGCGAGCAGCAGGCCGCCATCTTCAAAAGAGATGGAAGACCGATCTAGTGGCAAGAATAGTTTAGGATGAGGAAGGTCTGAAGAAAGTTGCCGTATTTCAGTGGTCAAATAAGTTTTAGACTGTCCTTAAGTTTTTCTTCCGTTTTCCCGTCGAATGCTTTTCAAAACATCCACAAACACGTCATGATATCCTTAACGCAACAACCCTTCGTTTTGAGATTCGTTTTTTCTAACAAATCACGTGATTTTGCGTACATTGGTGATTTCGTTACCAACTTTGGTTACGCTGTAACGCAAGTCCTCCTTGTGTGATCAACATAAATATATTTTCTCATGTGTGGGATTTGGTAAAGTTCAAAGCGGAAAAAATATAATTGAGGTTCCTTGGCTTGTTTTATTTTTGTATAATAAAATGTCAATCAAGAACAGTTTTGTCCAGTGTCCCATTGTTGTGACCTGGAATCACCTCTGACCTTATCCTGTTGACCTACCTAAAAGTTGTGTCGTCCTCAAAAAGTCAATTCGCAACAAAACCTCTACGCATAAATGGTCACAGTACTAAAAGTGCAACAAAACCTCTACGCACGTACTCAAGGAAATATATTTAGACTCAATGGCTCTTTAGCTAGGCAAATGTTTAATAAAAAAGGTTTAAAAGCCGTTTCATATATTCTACAGGTAAAAGCCCTGGAATATTTATTAAGTTTTCAAATATACAATCGACCATCCATCGATCAACAGACTTTGTTTCTACGCGCGTAATTAAACACATACATATTTTTCTAGTTAGAATGATTTGTAAGAATTGAAAGCCTATCTCAATTAGTTCAGTAATTTCCCAACGGCTAATGCAGTTGCTTTGGTAGGTACTTTAAGTCGGGTTATTAAAGAGTATCAAGAATGCATTAACATGTATAGCCTTCTACTACCATGTGTAGCCATGTATTACCATGTATTCCCATGTATTACCATGTATAGCCATGTATTACCATGTATTCCCATGTATAGCTATTTATAGCCATGTATAGCCATGTATTGCCATGTATTCCCACGTATAGCTATTTATAGCCATGTAATGCCATGTATAGCCATGTATTATCATGTATTACCATGTATTGCCATGCATTACCATGTACTACCATGTATACCCATGTATTGCCATGTATTCCCATGTATAGCTATTTATAGCCTTGTAATGCCATGTATAGCCATGTATTACCATGTATTACCACGTATTGCCATGTATAGCCATGTATTACCATGTATAGCCATATATAGCCATGTATTACCATATATAGCCATGTATTACCATGTATAGCCATGTAGAACCATGTATTGCCATGTATTACCATGTATTACTATGTATTACCATGTATAGCTATGTATACCCATGTATTACCATGTACTGCCATGTATATCCATCTATTACAATGCACTGCCATGTATAGTTATGTATTACCATGTGCTTCCATGTATAGCCATGTATTACCATGTTTTGCAATGTATTACCATGTGTTGCCATGTATTACCATGTATAGCCATGTATTACAATGTATAGCCATGTTTTGCAATGTATAACTATGTGTAGCCATGTAATGCCATGTATAGCCATTTATTGCCATGTATTACCGTGTGTTACTAGCTTTTACAATGTATTGCCATGTATTACCGTGTATAGCCATCTATTGCCATGTATTGAACATTATGTATAGTCATGTATTAACATGTACTGCCATTTATAGCCATGTATTTCCATGTATTGCCATGTGTTACTATTTATTACCATGTATTGCCATGTATTACCATGTATAGCCATGTATTGCCATGTATAGCCATGTATTGCCATGTATTGCCATGTATTACTATGTATTACCATGTATCGCCATGTATATCGCCATGTATTACGATGTATTGCGATGTATTGCCTGCATTGCAATGTATTGCCATGTATCGCCATGTATTAGCATGTGCTGCCATGTATCGCCATGTATTACGATGTATTGCTATATATAGCCATGTACTACTATGTACTGCCATGTATATCCATGTATTACCATGTACTACCATGTATAGCCACGTATTGCCATGTATTACTATGTATTACTATATATGTATTGCCATGCATTGCCATGTATTACAATGTATTGCATAGTATCGCCATGTATCGCCATGTATTACCATGTGCTTCCATGTATCACCAAGTATTACCATGTATTGCGATGTATTGCCATGCGTTGCCATGTATTGCCATGTATAGCCATGTATTGCCATGTATTACTATGTATTACCATGTATTACTATGTATTACCATGTATTGCCATGTATTACCATGTGCTGCCATTGTATCGCCATGTATTGCCATGTATTACTATGTATTACCACACTGTAATTTTCAGGGAGTTATAATAACTCCTCTAGTGGGGCTAAGTTAACTCCTGACAGTGGAGTTATTTTTTGTGGAGTTATTTTAACTCCAAAAAGGAGTTTAAAGAACTCTTTTTCAGGAGTAAAAGTGACCCCAGATATTGAGGAGTTAAAATAACCCCAAAAAAGGAGTTATCCTGTACCTAAAATTTTTACTCCACTTTCAGAGTTAAATTAACTCCAAAAAGAGTAAAAACAACCCCTGTAAGGAGTACAAGTAACCCCATTTCGGAGTAGTTTTAACTCCAAGACTGGGAGTAAAAAGAACTCTTTTTCAGGAGTAAAATGACCCCAAATTCGGAGTTAAATTAGGAGTTAAAATAACCCCAAAAAAGGGTTATCCTGTACCTAAAATTTTTACTCCATTTTTGGAGTTATAATAACTCCCTAAAAATTACGGTGTATATTATATATGTCAATTAATTTTATGAAATGTCATTTTTTGTCATAGATATTTTTCATTAAAGAAAACCAGGGAGGAGCAGCGTGGAAGTCAACAGAAGTAAGTTTATTTTTATTTTTTTTCTGTTTTCTTTTCACTCGCGTTAGGAAGGACTTCCGGTTTTTTTTTTTTTGTCCGAGGGGAACCGGTTCTAGTTTTGAAAGGCTCGAGTTTGCGCGGTATCTTTCTCCTTTCAACGGCTCTCTTCGTGAGTGGAGAGGTTTTGATGGGAGCGTGTGCGAAACGGGGACTAATATGGGCCGAGTTTGGCAAGAAATTCTATTTCCACGGTTTGCAAAGTGCCTGGGACATCATAAAGTCCGGGAAGGCTTAAATGGGCGCTCGTTGCTCAAAGAACCTAGCATCGGGCACAATCCGAGAGACCATCCGGTGGATGGTGTATAACGTCTCTGCCCAGCTCTGCACACCGTGGAGAAGTCTCCAGCAGGCAATAAGGGGCAAATTGGTTAGTTTGGACATAAGAAAAGAGGGCCAACGAAGTTTTTGGCTGTGATTTTTGCCTTGCTGGAGACTTATAAATTGTGTTGTTATTGCCAGGATGTAATGTGTCCCGCACGAGTTGAACACGGATTTCCCAGAATGCACTGCGAGAAAGG